AAGGAACTGCAGCACGGTCACATGACTTTTATGGGTCTCTGGTGTGTTTTAAACTAACTGCAGGATTAATGCTTGAATTATAGTATATTGGTACAACATGTATTGACAGTTAACAACAGTATCAACAATATCTGATCATAAAACATTAGGCTGCAGTGGTTTCACAAACCAGGGGAATTACAATGTTACATCTCAGCTGTCTGTGGTGTGGTGTGTATTTTGTCCACCTTTCTGCACACTGCTTGTATAGTTTACCAAGTCATTATTCCATAGTCTAGACTTTATTTTGTGATATTTTGTTTAAGTTTCTCATGATTTTTAGCTATTAAGTTAACATTACGAGAAAGTTGTTTTTAAGTCATTAAAAAATAAAAATAAATAAAAATGATTTGGATTAAGTGTCTCCTTGTTGAAAGACAAGTCACCTTCTTTGAGACGGTTTATCATGAATTGAATAAACAAAATCCATTATTTAAAGATGTGTTTTCATTATAATGATTTATATTTAGTGTCCTTACATCACGAGGCTCAGTTTGCATTAAAAACACATTATATTTACTTCTATTTCTCCATGGAGGATTGGACCTACCAGCACATTCTGAGCGGGCGATGGAGTGAATCTGCAGAGTGTTCTGAGTTTTCAACAGGCTGTGGAGGGTTCTCACTATACCTGCAGAAAGAGACGGAGGCCTTTTAGTAAACAGAGGAGGAAGAAGTACTCAGATCAAGTAGAAGTACTAAAAGTAGAAGTACCAGAGTGTAGGAATACTCTGTTACAGTAAAAGTCCTGCATTCAAAATGTTCCTCAAGTAAAAGTAGAAAAGTATTCTCATCAAAATATAGTAAAAGCAGCGACAGTAAAAGTAGTGATTGTGCAGATTGGTCCATTTCAGAATAATATATATGATATGTTTTCTAATGATTGATAGTAAGTAACTAAAATGTATTACATACATGTAGTGGAGTAGAAGTAGCATACAATGGAAAAGTAAATCAACATTTTATTTAGGTAAAGTACTTGAGTAAATATACTTAGTTACTTTACACCACTGTAGGTCACCTTGTAGCAGAATAATGCCTGAAATGATTATTCACCATGTACAGTTTGATGAAGACATACTGATTATAAGAGCATCTCACCGATCCTTCCATTCTGCTTGCAGAGCACCTTTTTATCCAGCAATATTTGGTGTGCACTCGGGTCTTTGTTCCTCCACTCCTCCTCGGCTTCCATCATCCTGCTGACACAGAGCCACAAACACCCGGCCCGTCATCTTCAGCAAGCCGAGAAACACTTCAGCTCCATCGGACGGACATCGCTTCCCCGACACCATGGATGTTATAAAGAGATCTGGAGCTCCATTCATTCCTATGAGAGCTGTTCAGTGGCGCATGAAGCTCAAAAAGGCCTGAGCAGAAGGACCCGTGTGTGGGCCCATGGAGCATGCGCAGTTGAGTTTCCCCTTAAGCCCCCTATTCCCCTTGCTCTCTGTCAGTCAAATGAATGGAGAGCGAAAATAACTCTGGATTCAGCTTTCAGCGCATTCTACAACTTGTAGACCATCATGATTTAAACATGGGCTATAAAATAGTTCCTGGTGGGTAGTTTGTTTAGCTCAAGAAAAAGTATCCGCTGATTAACAGACGTCTCTTTCCCCAATGGAAGTCAATGAAGAAAAGTCTTTTTTGGGCCCAATGACGTCACGGACGTTGTCGTACCGCTGGTTGGCCACTACGAGAATTAGCTTTGCCTGACTGTTAGCGTAAGCTATCCGCTAACGGGCGAGCTAACTTAGACCAGAGTGTGAGTCATGTTGTTGAGCTGATGGAGGCGCTAACTAGCGGTTATTTCTGCACCGAGAGGGGGAGTAGGATCGAAGAGAAATAAAGCATCTAAGCCGGGGAACAGGGCCAACATGACGACTCGGTAAAAGTCGCAAACTAACCGCCGCTTGTTAACATAACGAGTAGCCGTTGGTTAGCATAACGAATAGCCGTTGGTTAGCATTACTAACCGCAGTTGGTTACTATAGCTACCCACTAACCGCTGCTCCCTTGCGGCTTGTTGCGCAGCTACCACCGCATATTGAGTCCCATCGAGTCGCTACACACCACCGGCTGACGTCGGTGATAAACACCCACACATTTGATCCATGTAATGCGGGGCTAGAAGACTAGTTGACCGGCTAAAAGAAGCTGCATGAGCCGAGCATGCAGCATCTCCAGCTGCGAGAGGATGGAGGGTGTTTGTATCCCTGAACGCAGCCTTACAGGTAGTGTTCAGGGAGAGGTGGGAGAAATACTCAGATCTTGTAGAAAAAATAGAGTACTCAGGTCTTGTACTTGAGTAAAAGTACAAGTACTAAGATCTTGTACTTGAGTAAAAGTAGAAGTACTCAGATCTTGTACTTGAGTAAAAGTAGAAGTAGCCTACTCAGATTGTGTACAGACTGTAGGAATACTCTATTACAGTAAAAGTCCTGCATTCAAAATGTTCCTCAAGTAAAAGTAGAAAAGTATTCTCATCAACATATAGTGAAAGTAGCGACAGTAAAAGTAGTCATTGTGCAGATTGGTCCATTTCAGAATAATATATATGATATGTTTTCTAATGATTGATCATTAAAGTGTTCTCAGAGCTGGTAAAGGTGCAGCTAGTTCAAACTATTTGTGAATGAAATCCAGGTTTATTTAATGAGTGTGACGTAATGTACACTGCTTCTATTCTGTATATTTGTAAATGTATTGTGTGTATTCAATATATTCGATAGATGTTTATCCTTCATTATTGATACACTGTTTTGCGTATTCTGTTTATCTTCTCCTGCTGATATCTTTATTGTTGGTCGAAAAATGTCCCAAATTGCGATCAATAAAATATCTACCTTATCTCAGTCTTATTTAAGTATTGATCATATTGTTTGTCAGTCATCTATATTTGCTACGTAACTAAAGGAATTAAATATATGTAGTGGAGATAAAGTACAATATGTATTTACATATATATATATATATATATATTAAATATGAATTCACTACTGAAGCTATAGCATTATACATATGTTTACATTTGTATCCTGTGCACCTTTTTTTAACCTTCTATTTCTATGATTATTTTTCATTTATTTTATACTTCAGTTCACTTATTGTCAAATCGAGCAAAATTAACAAACCGAAGTAGTTGGATATCGTTGTATAAATCCTGCATCAAATATATATTTTAACATAACAACCTTTTTTAATGTTAAATATGTGTTTTGCAAAATGCTGTGAATGGGGTAAAACATATACCTAAAAGATATCACCTTGAAACGTCCCCGCTTCATTACTGACTTTAACACAAGTATTTTTTACATTACAAGTTTTCTGAAGTGTTATGTTTCAATATGCTAAGGAGGCTTTATGTAATAGTAACTTTAAGTTATTTAGGAAGAATGTACACGCACAAAGAGACAGTCCAAACTCTTATATTTTCAGTGTATATTCTCTATTTCTGCCTGCTGTTTTCCACCTTTACACATTTAATGGTTAAATAAAGACATGCTTTAAAGAAACATGGCTTCTCATAAAGAGACCCACATTAATGATGATGGTCGTCAGTGTGTGTAACTCACCGTGTGTGTGTTTGTGTTGTCCGGCTGTTTCTCGGTGTGTCAGCTGCAGCTCTGAGAGCAGATCTGGAGACTGGCTCTTTTCTCTTCTTCTTCTTCTTGTGTTTAATTGGATGGCCGCGGCCTCTCTTCAGGTATCCTGGTAACCCGCCGTCCTGCTGATGTCACAGCTCTCCATAATGAAGTGTGAGTGTATCTAGCTGCCTTTGTCAATAACCTGCAGGCAGGCGGGGAAATTCACAGGAGATAAGGCCCGACAATGAAGGCCACGTCTGTCTACACACTCCTCTGGCTCCTCACACACACTTAATATCACACATCATCATCTCAAACTATCTTTAATTTACTAGTGTTTATGTCTATGTATTTAGATTAAGTCTCATTTATTCAGATTCCTTTGAAAAAAAGGATATCATGCTGGTGGTTTTTTTGTTCAGATAATACTGCATACACTGGTGCAGTGATGATGTATTTTTATAAGCAGACCCTGAAGGCAGCGTCTCCATGTTGTTGGGCTATAAAGGAACTACAACACGGTCACATGACTTCACGTCACCAACGCTAAGCTAAAGGAGGCTAATGTTGGGCTATAAAGGAACTACAGCACGGTCACATGACTTCACGTCACCACCGCTAAGCTAAAGGAGGCTAATGTTGGGCTATAAAGGAACTACAGCACGGTCACATGACTTCACGTCACCACCGCTAAGCTAAAGGTGGCTAATGTTGGGCTATAAAGGAACTACAGCACGGTCACATGACTTCACGTCACCACCGCTAAGCTAAAGGAGGCTAATGTTGGGCTATAAAGGAACTACAGCACGGTCACATGGCTTCACGTCACCACCGCTAAGCTAAAGGAGGCTAGACTGTTAGCAACCACTCTTTAACTCACCAATGGGGTATTTACTGACGTATTTTATGTGGTAGAAAAAAATATTAAAATCTCTTCAGCTCGTCTTAACCACAGACCTTATTCCAGGGTAAAAACCAAAAACACATTCAGGAAACCATTGACCTCCAGACCAGGGGACAGGAAAGGATGAAATGCTGACTCATGTCAGGGTTTTAGGACTCATTCCTGCATCAACAGCGACATTTGGTCTTGATCTCCAGCTGTATTTCTAGTTTAAACTCAATAAGAACTCACTGTCTGTGTTTGCTCCTCAGCTGATGGGTGTCTCTCGGAGCTCAGCATCCCCGTGTCGGAGCACGGAGCCTGGGCCACGGCCATGAACAACCTGGGCATCCTGCCTGTGGGGCTCAGAGGACCCCCGCTGCTCTCAGGTAACTTTAAACATCTCACCTCAAAGACTCAAAGTCTTTATCCTCAGATTAACAGCAGCGTCAGTGTATACAAGAACACCTGAAGTCCCAGGCTCCTCCCACAATGCAACATCAATATATATAAGACAATACTAATGTGCAAGTAATGCAATAGAATGTATTTAACATTGAAATGCTCAACGTGTTACTGTGATGTCTTGTTTCAACAGATACTTACACTTTTTTTTGTATTACTATTTACATTTTTTAAAATACTTTATTTGTACCTTGTGTGAATCCTGTTTTTAACTCTGACCCTGTTGCTGCTATAAGGCCTGAATTTAAGGCCTGAATTTCCCAAAGGGGATAAATAAAGTTCCATCTTAGAAGTGAAATATAAGTAAAGTAGAATAAGATTTACCTCGACCTGAAGATGGAGCTGCCTTCAGGAGATACTGAGAGGTTTGGCTCAGAGGCTGGTGGTGGAAACAACCAGTTAAACTCTGTTTCTATGGTTACCTCCTATGCTAGCCTGCGCTGCTACATACAGCTGTCTTCTGATTGGTTGCACATCTACAGGTCAGCGTTAACGAGGTCAAAGTTGATTTAATTTGAACTTTGATCACAGCACTACAAATGTGAGCCTCAGTGAAGACATTGAACTTCTTCCGATTCTTCCTCTTTCCACTACCATCAACGTGTTAAAGCTGACGGCGCTAGTTAAGTCTCTTCAGCTTGTGTTAACCACAGGCCTTATTTCAGGATTACAACCAAAAACTCATTCAGAAAACCATTGACCTCCAGACCAGGGGACAGGTTAAGGTTTAGGACTCATTCCTGCATTAGAGCAGGTGAGAACGAAAAAGAGTCTGGTCTGAATGAGGCTTCATGTCAGCGTTTGTATTGAAAAGAACTGATAGACTGTTCCGTTATCGCAAATCACTTTCAACATTATTAGTCCGTAAAACAATTTTTCTGCCGAGGGAGAGAACAGATCTCATATCAGCGCTATCGTTCACATTATTTGTGTGTGTTATCTGTGTGTGTGTGTGTGTGTGTGTGTGTGTGTGTGTGTGTGTGTGTGTGTGTGTGTGTGTGTGTGTGTGTGTGTTGTGCAGTATTACCATTCAGCAGCACTTTACAGAGAATGGGGGGGAAGAATATCTAAGTTCAGCAGACGTTATGCAAATTTATGGACTTCGTAATAAGCAGACAATGTCAGTTTTACTTCAGGCTCTTTAGTCTCAGAGCTTAGGTTTGACTGTGTGTGTGTGTGTGTGTGTGTGTGTGTGTGTGTGTGTGTGTGTGTGTGTGTGTGTGTGTGTGTGTGTGTGTGTGTGTGTGTGTGTGTGTGTGCTGATGGCTCTAATGGTGATGGAAACTGAGAGGCTCTAAACGGTCTGAAGTGGAAAAGCTTTTAGCTGCTCTTAGGCGACGCTGCAGTAACGTGCAGATCAGAAACTGAGAATACTGCCATGTGATAAGCATACTAATACTTCAGACAGTTCTTCTTGTAGTAGAAATCAGTAACACTATGTGGATTTGATGTTTTATTGTGAGAGTAGTATTATAACCAGCAATTAGCATAGGCTCCTACAAAGTGACCTTCAAATACATTTTAGGATGTTTTGAGTGAAAGGATGATATTTGTTTTAAAATGAAGTTTTGCATGAGGCTGACGATACTTCTGTTTGATTATAAATGCAGGATCTGAACTTTTAATGGAGTATGTTTTACATGTTCTTCCATCGGCAGAGATTTATACGGAATAAATGACCATTTAAAAGACTGCACCAGTGAGGTCAGGATTTATAATCATGGTATAAAAGCCTATTTCACAGAAGTACCTTTTAATTTAAGGTGCTTTATATTTGGCTGTTCTCCAAACACTAATCCCTGCATGTTTCACCTCAATTAAATTTTCTGTTTCCCCTTTTAATCTGTTTATGAATCAGTTTTTGGGGGATTTGTCTGAGCTTTCTGTTTGTTTGTTCAGCTACACAAAGCCTGAGGGGGTATTATTATTATTATTATTATTGTTGCTGTTGCTGTTAGGGTTAGGTTAAAGTAATTGAATGCCTGTGCAGCATCAGTGAAAATATTAAAATAATGACGTCATTTTGGCGATGCTCTCGACCTTTTGAAGTGTGTGTGTATGTGTGTTTGTCTTTATTACATGGTGGGGCTCCTGTTAGCACAGTCACAGTGTGGGGTCCAACATTTTAGTGGGGTCCAAAAACCTGGTTTTGTTCGTGTTAAATCATCGATAGCGTGTACAACTCACCTCAAAATAAGAAAACAAAGCATTTTTGAAAGGACGTTAACCTGTTAAAGTAATTGAATGCCTGAGCTGA